ATAAACCAGGCCAGGATCCGGAAGTTGGGATGGAGCAAAGATGGACTCTAATGAGTACCACACCCGCACTGTAATAGCATCACACTATAGGTATCCCAAATGCCATGCTCGATGCCCTATGCTGATGCTGATGGCACTCGTCTCGTCTCCGGTTGTCTACGGCTTTTGCCTGGGGACATCTTGTCCGTGTAAGGCTCTGAATCGATTTCCACGTGCCCTAGCTCTTTGGGCCTGTTTGGGCGATTTAGCCCACGAGGCCATCAATGCTGTAGCCTCTGACCATGCGGCGATATTGGTGGGTTGAATTAGATATCTCCCGGAACTGGCGGGCTCATGATACTTCTTGCTCCGCGTTGATGGTTTTCTTTAAGGCCATCACGACGACGCGGTTGGCATCACGACAAGCCACCAAGCACCGTTCGACCAGGTTATTATACAGCATAACATCAGCGCCGGGCAGCTGGCCCTTGAACCACACGTTCGTGACCTCGTCCCGGGTGGGAAGATAGGCAATGCAGCAAGCCGCATAGATCTTATGGTAGTCGGCGATGGCGGGGTCGAGGACGATCGATGGCGGGCTTTTTGGGGTTTTGGCGACCAGCGCTGCGACACCACCGGCAACGGTGTCGACGCAGTCAATGCCGGCATCGGCAATGGCAGCCGAGGCCACGGTAATGCAGCCGCTCAGCACGTTCATTGTGTACCAGCCGTCGCCACGCTGGCTCTCGGGCGCATTACGATCTTGGTCACCCTCGATTATGGTGACTATAATATCGACACCGCTCTTAGGCCAGCGGTCAGCGATGATGGCCCCCCGTAGCGCGGTCTCCAAGTGCACGCCAAGATCCCTCTCGCTCGAGTCTCGGAGGTAGCCGCGCCGTTGCTTCGTCGCGAATGGCGCATATTTGACGTGGGTTGTCAGGATGATGTGAGGGGAGAATGGCGCAGATCGTGGCAGAGCTCGTGGGCCGTGGACAGTACATGTTAACTTGAGGCTCGTGTTGCTGGGACCGGTCGCATTGGGTTTCTCGAGCTCCAGATAGGCAGACCCAGAGGCAGACGGGGTCACGCCCGTTTTCAGAACTGCGCATCCCAGTTTAGTAGGAGACAAGACAGACAAGATAGCTAGCTACGTACAGATTTTGCGAATGGCATTGTCGGGCTTCTCTGCACTGCTACGAGATCCAGGAGGGCTGTCGTAGATCGGGGGCAGGGTAGCGCCTACGGGACCGTTTATCCTTCTCCGGTCAGCCATGGGTGGTGGGGTGTTGTCGATTTGCTGTTGTTTAAGATCACCAGGAATCGAAGCTCAACTTTGGGACCAAGCCAAGTGAACTTGATATTAGAGTCCCACTTTTCTACCTCTTATCGATTGTCTCTAGCCAACAGCTGCGAATCCCAGGCTCCACTGCGAACCAGCCTTTCCCTTAAAATTTAGTTCAACAGAAATTTGCAGCTTCGTCCGTCCTTCATATTTCTTCTTCCACCTATCATCACTGTCTCTCGCCAAAGCCTGGAATCGACCACATTGCAGAACCGCCGGAAGCGAAGGCAAGAGGCGATGGGAGTACTTGAGAGAGCAAAAGAGTTAGTAATAATGCTTTTACTGTAACTTACGCTGGTCTATGGCAGTCGAATGGGAGGTAAGCAACGAAAGATCTCACTCAACATCGGCCTTGCGGCCACATCCATCCATCCCCTACGCCCTTGCTGTTGATGAATTCTTTTCCACAGTTCTCGCGATCACCTGAGCGTACTGAACTAAACATGCACTACCATCTGAAGCACCGTATTGGCCGAGTCTGGCTGGACAATCAATCCTCTGAATTGGTCGCTAACCAGGATATTAGATATATAGCAAATACATCGAACCACGAACGCTCTTTCGCCTCTCGATATGAACTCGTAGTGTGTGAGTTATCACTTCCGTTGCTATTCAGATATCTACCTTCTCCCTATTTTCCATGATGAGACCTACATCATTCAGTTCTGCTTCTGAACCAAATGAAGATACCCATATACCAAAAACTTACTCTGATCAAGTCCCTCCTATCTCATGCCTCTCCAAGCAGCTTTACGAGATGGAATCAATGACTAACTGTTGCTCAGGCTCACGTAGATATTATTTCCTATCCCCAGCATGTTCAATGTTCCTCACGAACCCATTACGACGTAAGTGCCTCTCCGTCGTGTCTGTGCCTTCTCTGTCATGATGAAAACTGTTTATCCATTCAACTATCTCACAATGGGTCGAGCCACCCTCCCACACCGGAGTTGGTCCTTCGGGGCTGGTAATGATAGGTTGTGGAGTTGCTTAATGACTACCTCAGCCTCGTGCTGGCGTTGTTAGGAGTGTCATGCTGGCTTCCGTGTTTTCTATCTTCATGCTTCGTCTTGAGGCATGGGGGCGGAGAGCCGACACATGTGAATGAGTAAAACGGTTCGCTGAACGAAATTCATCACGTCACCTTTCAAATGGAGCGAGTAGTGTGACTTTGCTAATTTGTCTCACTATCAGGTACCTATTTTACATAATCCTGTACTTTTTAAGTACCCTGTAGGCCAATATCGTAGTGTAGTTGTAAATGCTCAATCCGATGGTGACTGAACTCCTCCATCGTCCTAATCGACGTGCCCCTTTTTATTTATTTTGTATCTAAGATGCGTACTACGGTGTACAAATGCCCGTCTATGATCTTCTGTGCATGACGCCCGCAGAAGCCTGGTGGTTAGGGAAGATTAGGGTGTCAGCGACCACGACGTTCTCTCTCCTGCCAGCAGTGAAGACGATAACCTCGGCAACATCATCGGGAGTCAGTGGGTCAACACCACTGGAAGCATCGTTAGCGCGATGGAACAGCCTGGATAGATAGATAGCAGAACTCACGCGTATACAGCATCAGCCTTCGACTTATCACCGTAGAACCGAACAACGGAGAACTCCTACATCCCCGAACGTTAGCCAGTGATTGATGTCGAGTTAAACCCGGTTCTCCCGGATTTGCAAATGTTTCGAATTAGAATGATCAAGGGGGGAGAGAGATAGAGAAGGACACTCACGGTCTCGACCTGGCCGGGATCGACCTCGATCACGCGGACGCGCGAGGCTATGAGCTCGTGGCGCAGGGCGCTGCTGAAGCTGTGGACGGCGGACTTGGTGGCGCAGTAGATGCTGCCGCCGGCGTAGGGCTCGCGGCCGGCGATGCTGCCGACGTTGATGATGTCGCCGTGGCCGCCGTCGGGGCGGCGCAGGAAGATGGGCAGGATCGCCTGCGTCATGTTGATGAGGCCCGTCACGTTGGTGGCGATCATGACGTTCACGTCCTCCTCGGCGATCTCGGGGGCCCTCGCGACGCCCTTGACGAGGCCACTGGGAAGGCTCATTGTTAGTATGTTTTTTTCTTTCGTCTCTGGTAATCTTGAATCATTGGGATGCTCTATCGCTCCCCTCCCCTCCCCACCCCACTTCCCCCGCCCCTAAGATCGAAAATAGATGGAGAGGGGGAGAGCGAGCGAGCGAGGAAACAAGGTCAAAGTAGTTCACAGCTCTTCTTCCCACTCACGCATTATTCACGAGGACGTCGATCTCCCTGAACTCCTCGGGCAGCTTCCCGACGAAGGCCCGGATCTCGTCGGGCTTGCTGACGTCCAGCTGGACGGGGAGGACCTGGACGGCGGCGTCGCCGACCTCGGCCCTGATGTCGGCGGCGACCTGCGTCAGGGTGTCGATGCGGCGCGCCGTGAGGACGAGCTTCAGCCCGCCGGCGGGCGCGGCCGTGCGCGCGAACTCGAACGCCGTGCTGCGGCCTATGCCCGACGACGCGCCCGTGATGACCACCGTCTTGCCGGCCAGGCGCTTCGCTACCGCGGACGAGGCCATTGTGCGTGAGAAGGAGGAGGAGGGCGACGCGGCTCGGGCGATGGAGGTGAAGGCGAGGAGGAGGCCGCTGGGCTTGATGATGGATACTCGGCGGGAGTAGCTGCTGGCGAGAAGCGTGCGGAGTGCGCGGTGGGTGGTGGTGGTGATGGTGGTGATGGAGGAGGGTATGGTGTGGTTGAGGGGGGGCATGTAGGATTGGACGGCCGAGATGGGTTATGAGGGAATCATTTAAATAGGAGGAGAAACGAATAAATGGAATAAACTATCACGCCTTCACTCCTCGCCCACTCTCTCACTCATTAGTCAGTGCTAAGCTAAACAGGTAGATAGATAGAGAGATAAAAGTAGGTATCGTACAATACAACACGGGAGACGGATACTACACACCTACACAGTCGATATCGGAGCCACATACAGGTAGCTACCTAACCTACCTAGATCGTAGCTATGATGTCGCCATTAGACCTCAAATGGATGGGTCAACCAAACCCCGCCGAGCCCTTTTCCGCTCGCTTTTCCGCCCGCTCTCTTTACCGAGTTGCTCCTCCTTACCCCACCGGACACTTTTCCGCTTGATCTCCTTTACCTTACCCCGCCGAGCCGAGCTACGAGAGAGCGACGACAATGGACAAACCCCCGAAATTCCCGGATGGGTTTTGTTCGGTCATAATAGGGAGCATTGGGATGCATGTGAGAGTAGGGAGTGGTTTTGCGACAGATTTCCGTCACGAATACCTAACTGAAACGGTATTAGAATGGTATCAACAGAGAATCATTACTTCTAACCTGACTCCCTACTACCTACCACGTAGGTGGGAGCTGGTAGATAAGAGGGAGGTATGTATATATGTTGTGGGCCATGCGGATATATTCTTCCTTAGAAATTAATTGCAAAGAAGAAAGAAAGAGCCTCAATCTGCAAAACTGTATAACTGGAGAATTAATAACCCCCCTGCCTTAGAAATGCAAATGAATTGGCGAGCGTGGTTTGCTGAGATGTGTAAGTACAACGAGTCCAAGTATTTTGGAATATTCAGAGAACCCACCAAACCGGAGGCATTTGACGATTGATAAGTACTCTCTAGCAATCGCGTCGATCACCAGATGTATAACCAGCCCCGCTGAGGTAGTGTAGTGGTCAGCACGTGGGATTTTGATTAGAGCTGTCTACCTCTGGTCAGACGGTTTCAGAACAAAACTTCCCGAGTCCCCGGTTCGAACCCGGGCCACAGCTCAGAAGGACTTCTTTTTGCATGCCTATTCTCTAGCACCTCAATGAGGTTTATTTAGCCAACCCAACTCTAGCACTCACTCACCTTTTTGAGTCTTTTGTCACAAGTCTTCAGCTGCAGTGCTCTACAACTTTGTTAGGAATTCATGTTTGCCGCTATTCAACATGTAAAATGTCTTGAATTCCTTTATTATAATGTAACCCAAAAGGGAAGAACAGGTATGTTGGTGCTCTCTGTGCCCCTGTCTTATTATCTACTCATCATTCGTTATTCTAATAAACTTGACTACCTACTACAATGGAACATGATGGTGGTGCTTGGTAGTATACACTAGTCGTGTGGTATCTCTTTTGTATGACATCGCTTCGTTGAGCTGAATCTCATGCATCTAAAATGCCAATCAAACTTGTCGTGGGAGAAGGATCTATATCCCCAGAACTCCCTACTCGAGCGAGCGCAAGAATTCGATCATTCAGTCGGATGATTTCTTATATGATCGGGTTTTTCAGAAGCGTTGCAAATTCCACCAAAGCATAACGGTCGCTAGGTCGGGTATCGTTGCGGTTGCCCTCGAGGCGGAATCGTGATTTTGCAGAGTGGCTGTGTCCAGCATGACTCAAGTGTCTGCAGAATATTCGGGTGGTCAAAGCTGGAAGGTCGTGTGCGTTCCTCTGTCTCGTCTTTCCAAACAGACTTCTAGCTTTTACGAAGGAGGTAGCTTCTCAGGCACTCCTCTTCAGATCTGACTCGTGATCATACAGGGTCAATCCAGCTCTTGACGGCAGCTATTGCGATATCGTATTCAAACGCAACACTATCTTTTGGGCCTAGAGGCAGTGGCTTATCCCAGGCATGTTTCTCGCCCTCGACCACGCGGACGCTGACTTTCTTGCTCCGGTTTTCGAGTCTTTCAGCAAACAACTTGCCCTCGGCAAGCAGCATGTCGTATTCGCAGAGGCACAGATGAACAGGCGGAAGCCGATCGATCAGCTCATCAGGCATCAGTCCCGGCGACAGCCGTATATCCGTCCGTTGACGCCGTGGAAGCGGAGGATACACATACGATGCATCGATCAGATCCGTCAGTCCGGTGGGTAACGTCAAGTCTGGCCTTTTGCAAGCCTTTCGTTTCTGCGGCCGGTCTAACGTCCAGTCGAGCGGGGGATAGTAGAGAACAAGTCCCGCGATCTTTGGCGCTGGCGCTGGTAATTCGTAGTCCCACCTCCCGGGGTCTTCTAAGACGATCCAGCTGCTCGTGGCCAGCGTCGCGCCAGCAGAGAAGCCGGAAAGTATGATGCGGTCCGTGTCGATGTTGTATCGATCTGCGAGCTGGCATACCTGGATGATGGCGTCGACGCAGTCCTCTACCGGCGTTGGGAATGGATAGCTCGGCGCCAGACGGTAGTTGACCGAGAAGACGACGGCGCCCAGGGTGCTCACGAGAGCATCGGCCCATCGCGAATCGTCGGTTCCCTGGCCTATGATGAACCCGCCGCCGTGGAAATTGATGACGGCCGGTCTTTTGCCGGATTGAGATGGCTGCGAGCTGCCGGATGGAACCCAGACATTTGCACTAAACGTCTCCTTGCCCTTCCATTGACTCAGCGTGGAATTAAGCCAGATGGTTTCCGTGGGAGGCGATGCTGCCAGGCCTGAACGGTTACCTATTCGAAACCCGATACCAGCCAGAAACCGCAGGCCGAAAGCGTGAGCGCCTAGAAGCCAACGGGGACTCTTGTCTGCCGGGTTCACGTAGTCCTCCTCCAAGGGCGGCGGTCCGATGTCATGGATGGAAACGACTTCGGAGGCATCGACTTCGGCTGTGCTCTTCCTCTCGTTGGACATTTCTATCTTTTTAACTTTTTTTTCTAAGGGGTTTTCTATTGAAAGGGTGATTCAGAAAGTCAATTACTCGGTAGAAATCTCGCCTTGAACTTAATCTTGGAAATAGGTGGTGTGATGGGTAATAGCGATGCCAATCGATACCAGAGAATGACGTCGTATCTTGTGTCTCCTAGCTTAGTACCCCTGGCTGCCTGCCGCGCCTGGAACCTTGAATAATCCCGGGAGGTCTTGCCTTCAGTGGCGAGGAGTGGGTGGCAAATCATGTCGATCTATTTCAATCTGGATTCTGTCTGGACATTACCGATCGACTGGAAATACTCCAAAAGGTTGACTATTCTTAATTTGGAGTATGATATTAGTTAAGTAAATAACTTTATGTTGACCTAGAAATAATTCAGAAACAACACATCTTGACGAACCATGTGCCCATGTACCTAAGTAAGTAGGTAGAAGTTTAAGTTCGAAATCACAAAAGGGAGCCATGCCGCTTTCAGCTTAGTGTACGCCTTGACTGGACCCGCTTTTACATACCTGTTCGCCTGTCAACCAAAGTAAATAAAGATGGCTGTGTACACTAGAAACCACCATACAGATAGGAACAATACACAAATCCATCTTCACACGTGCTGCGCCTGTTCCAATGTCCAAAGCTTAATGCTTTCGTCTTTCGTCCGGTCTATTTCATCATGCTGCTCTTCAAGCCTCCAGTCAACACCATTCACAACTGCCAATACCCGTAGCCGTACGCCCAGATTCTCATCTTCAACTAGCTTCACTAAAAACTTCAGGAGTGCCTTTCGGTGGAGATTTCTTGAACCCTGCCCACGACACTCGTCTAGGCGGTCGAGTATCATCCACACCGTCGTCGACGGGCTAAACATGTTTAATACTCTCAGCGCCACCTTTCTAAGCGACGTTCCGACGACATGGGGCTCAGACCCTGTACGAGTCGCGCTCTCAAAACTTTGAAGCTCCGCTTGTAGCTCGGCATACTGTGTCTCATTCCGCAGCACCTCTCGATTGATGCTCAGCAGACGGTATATTAGGGAGGAGGCGACATGACCAAAAGTATCGTCGGCTGTCGAGCGGCCAAGTATGTAGAACACGCAGGGGTCCCGCGGTCTGGACAGCTTACTTTCGGCGATAAAATCTAGTGCAACTGGTGAAAGCCAGCAGTTTCTCGCTTGCAAGACCCTATTGCGGCCGATAAGGACCAAGATGCGAGACCCGGCCGAAGTACACCACGATTGGAATGTCTGGTGGTCCGTGATGGAGGCGAGGGGAGCCTTCGGTCTGCGTTGTCGGGAGTACCAGTTGTTGAACTCTGCAACAATATTCTCTCGGTGCCTTTTCAAAGTGGCGAGCTCGGCTTCAGGTGAGTGAGGGCTCAGTTTCAATAGTGCCCCTATCAGGTCTAATCTTTGTCCGTCGTGTCCGCGTTGCAATTCTTTTGCCATGAGTCAAAACTTACGGGTGCTGTGCTGGAAAGATTGTAGACTTACCCTCAACCTGCTTACTTAGACCTTTAACAATGACAATTAGATTCCTCTTCGACCTGGGGCCATGTCCTATAAACTTACGCTCGATCTGTTTGGCTTGCTCTACAAGGAGTCAGCGGAGTCTATCATAAGCTCAGGGTGCTCTCACCTTCGTTGAGGCTCTTGACATCAGCAACATTCTTATTTAGTAGCTCTTCGCACACAAGCCGAACGTTCACTATTGCTTGCTCAACTGCCCATGCTTTTTCATCTAAGGACGAAGAACGGCCAATGGCCTTAAGCCAGCGGGCTATGATTCATGAGTCGAGTTTGGAATTTCGAATTGATCACGATAGTCTCGGGCAAACAACTCACAGAAGCCGCTCATGGTATAAAAGGTAACCGTCGCAATGCAAAATTCAATAAAACAATCATATGCGTCAATGATAGTTGACTTTAACCGCTCATCTGGCTCGCCATTAGTCTGGTAGATACGCCGATAAGTTTCGATCCCTGGGAGTCGGTCTTGGATGGATTTCAGCGTAGCGCCAATCCGGATCTCCATTCTTTCTCGGTTTTGCGCGATCTACTCATGATCGTCAGCGGCCCCGGGTTCACCTCGCTATGAGAAACTTTCACCTCTTACCGTAAACATGAAGGCTATAGTTCCAATTGCAACTCCAGAAGATGGACTCCCGACGTCCTTTACAATGTCTAGGATTGGAGCTATAGCGGACCAGGCTACCACGGCCGAATTCGCAAATTTGGTTGCCTTCCCAGCGACCCTTGCAAGTCCATGGTCATGCCTGGCATCAAAGTCCCTCTTCGCGGCTATTGTGCTGTGCCAGAACCTTTCGAAGCTCTCTTTCGTGTCAATCTCGAAAGCCGATATCTCTTGCTGCGAGAAATGCGAAGCTGCCATGAACCGCTGTCGCAGCTCCCTTTGGTTTTGCTCTGACTTGGCGAGCTTATCACTGAGATTTCGTTAGAACCTGCTAGAGTGGTATCAATGAGACAGAGGGACACTCTACTTGCGAACTACGGTGAAGGGCGCCGTATTCGAGGAAGCAGTAACAATATGGGCCATTTTCTAGCAGGGAATGTAGGATGATGAGCGGGTTTAACTCATGCGATAATTGATAGGCTAAGATAGAATATTAAGATTAACGGCTGCCGTCGCCGCAAGTGGGAGGGTTACTTTGTCAAGCTGAGTATGATGATACCGGCAGAAAGTTAATTACTCATCGTGCTACAGCTGTAGAGCTACCTGTACGAATACTAGAATGTATTTGTTTCTAGCTATTATTAGGTAAGGGCTGATAAATGCAAGCGGTACTCATCAGGCTGCGACTGAGCTATTTTCAGGAGTGTAATAAACTAGAAAATGCCCTACGTCCACGATAGGTGGTTGTCAGGAGCACCATTCGTTGTGTCTGTCTGCTTAAAGTGACCCGTTCAAGAATAGGACTTGCATCACAGGCCGGAACGGCCGACCTGTTATCTGTTAGACAATCATGTCTAAAGTGTGCTGTATGTAAATGTGGTGCACGCGATAATAAGGGGTGATGGTGTTACATACTTAACATACGTCGCACTACAGAACGACCCTCACTAGGAAGTCAAGAAGCCCCCTCTAGGAATACACAAGTCTGCTAGACATTCCAAGGTAGGAGATGCAA